TCTCTGCAGAGCTGCTTTCCAGCAGGTCAACCCCCAGCCTGTACTGGTGCCTGGGGTTATTCCTCCCCAGGTGCAGGACCCTGCACTTGCCTTTGTTGAACTTCATGAGGTTCCTCTCCACCCCACTCTCCAGCCTGTCCAGGTCCCTCTGAAGGGCAGCACAGTCTTCTGGTGTGTCAGCCACTCCCCCCACTTTAGTATCATCAGCAAACTTGCTGAGGGTGCACTCTGTCCCTTCCTCCAGGTCATTGATGAATATGCTGAACAAGACTGGACCCAGTACTGACCCCTGGGGGACACCACTAGCTACAGGCCTCCAACTAGACTGCACCACTGACCACAACCCTCTGAGCTCTGCCATCCACCTCACTGTCCACTCATCTACCCTGCACTTCCTGAGCTTGCCTATGAGGATGTGATGGGAGACAGTGTCAAAAGCCTTGCTGAAGTCCAGGGAGACAACATCCACTGCTCTGCCCTCCTCTACCCAGCCAGTCATTCCATCATAGAAGGCTATCAGGTTGGTCAAGCATGATTTCCCTTTGGTGAATCCATGCTGACTACTCCTGAAGTGTTGGTGTTCTCGGTGTTCTCGGTGTATGGTGTTCTCGGTGAAAAGTGGCTTGCAAAAACCTAGCTAGCATGAAGTTATCTGGACAGCTGGGATGGTCTGGAGTCCTTCAAAAGGGAAGAATGGCATTCAATTTTTACACAGAATGGGAAAGACCATAAACTGATACTTAGTTCACAAGGAAAGTATCCTGGCAGTAACATAACACAAGAAGTTCCAGCAGTAGAAGTGAAGTTCTGGCACTGTTTCAGACCACAAGAGAACACCCAGTGGGAAATCTTGGATGGGTGCGAGGCTGGATGGAGGCTGGACCTGGGTGAACAGGTCCAGTTGTCTCCAAACAGGTGAGACTGAAGCAGTGACAGAAGGAGCAGCAAAGCCCAGGGGAGCAACAGAATTGAAAGCAGCAGAGGCCACATCTATGTTAGGAAGTAGTGTGCACCAACAGAAACGGATCTGTAGACCAGGAACTGGTACTGAAGATTCGACACCTTGCCATATGGTTTCAAGGGTTTTAACTGCAGATTGGTTCTAGTCGTTCCTGCAGACCGAGTGCCTGCTAGCTGCTGGAGTGCTCCCAGACTGCTCTGTGAGGTGACCCAGAGTGTGCTGAGCAGGGCTAAGGAGAAATACACTTCAAAAAATATATTCCTGACCAAAATTAAAACTATACTGTAGACACACTGAGAAACATCTAATAGCATGAGGTCAGAGTGGCAGCTAATGTTCCTGACCAGGAGGAGGTCACTAAAGCCTTCAAGAAGAACAATTTTACTGGAGTGATGTGGGTGACCAAAGCAGGGAATTAAAGAAAGCTAATGAATGGGAGCTAGAAAGCAAAAGGGTTTAAGAGAAACCTGTAGTAGATGGAAGTGGAGGAAATAAGGACTTTCTAAGGCAGTAAGTAGAACTGAAGTTTCAGAAGAGAATGGAAATATTGAGTTGAACAGCAAAACCGAGACATTTCCTGATATACTTCTGAATTCATGAGATGTATGTGTGTGTGTGTGTGTGGGGGGGCAAACCTTTAGAAATTAAAATATACAAGAGTTGAAATCACTTTGGCAAGATGCATGCACGTGCATGCACACGGAGAGAGAAAAAAACCTCTTAATTAAAATCCTTTACAAATCCTTTAATTAGGGACCTTCCAGAAAAATTGTTACAAGAGGGAACTGACATATTTCAAGCAAAATACTATATTGCTTCATCACCCTGTATAATCACTTGTGTACCAATTCTTTAGAAATTTGTTTTCTTTATGCACACACAAAAAAAATCCTGCCGAGCTCAAAATACAGCCATAAATTTGCAATTAGCAGTTGAATTATTAACATTACTCTAATCATCCTTTTCATTTAGGACATCTGTTTCTAATTAAGAGATTGCACGCAGCTCTGTGAATGGTTAAGAACCATCCAAGCGTTGAGTACTGGAAAAGGTGCACTCAAGCACTGCTCCTGCCAACATAGCTGTGTAGTCCAACAGCCATTGTAACATTCACTGAATTAAATAGAAGGGCTTGCAAGACTAGGCTACCCAGTCCTTATTTCTGAGCATTTAAGATCAACCACGGAATGAGAATTCTTTCAGCAAGCTGTGTCATTGTCTAGTTCTTATTAGTGTTTTTAAACCAGCCCTATTTTAAACAGGGGTTTCCTTGATTAGCATTAAAACCATCACAATAATATTCACAATAGGAGGAAAAAAAGTACTCCAGTACTCCTGGCAGAAAAGGAAAGGAGGCTCCAGCTGAAAAAGGCACTTTAGTCAATACATTGGATTACCAAGTGAAATAGCAATACTGCAAGCAAGACAAAATATGTTTGATAATAATGTTCTTTGATATAACTTGTTGCTTTTTCAGAAAAATTAAATCTGATATTTAAATATACTAAACTTAAAAACTATATCAATGCAAGCCTGTATATAACACTTTGAATTCACATTTATAAAGTGCTTGCTGTAATCAAGTTTGTTTTCCTGCCCATCCTAACTGCAAAATCTAACTAAGGTTGCTAACAAAATCATGCATTTTACCAACCATATTGACTTAAAAATCAATACAAGCATATTTCATGTGATAAACTGTTTAAAACTGTTTAAAACTGTTTTAAAACATCACCCAAAATAACCTCAACAGCTGTAAACTGCAAATAAACACAAACCCATTCTGAACAAATACACTAAGTTCTATATGATATTGGCCAGGCTCAAACACAAGCTCACGCACATGCATAATTTTACTGTAAGTTCACAGTATTAAATATTTTATTTCATTAAAGCCTCCATTGAATATACTAGTCAGTTAACAAATTGCATTTTCTAACAAAATTCCTTACAAGACAAGGTTAAAAACAGCAAAATTAAACTAGAAATATATTAAAATAAAAAGCCTCCTGTATAAATTTGTGTGGTGACCTAAAGAAACGGACAAGTGGCCAAGTGGCCCTTTATTAATGGAAACAGCTATAAGTGGATAAAAGTGGCAGAGAGGGAACAACTGCCTGTCTCTGGCAACTCTCTTTGTTCATCATAAGCAGAAGGAAGAAACTTCAAATTACTTTTCAAACAGTGGAGGGAAAGGAGGCATAAAAATCCCTATTAGCTGAGAACAGACCAGGCTGGGCACATTGGGGGTGCTTCATGACAGTTAAGAAAGGAACTAGTACTATAGCGAGGGAAGCTCAGAGAGCAACCCTTCTACTCTAGAGACAAGGAGTCTGGTAAGAACACGTTGAGGAAGAACCTGGTATAAATAGCAGGAAAAACTGCCATCATGAAGGCTAATCATGATTTCCAAAACACAATTCAGAGGAGGTAGCTCTTTTAGAGGACATTAATACAGAGAAAGTCAAAAGACTTGAGGCAGCTTTTCTTAAATGAAAAGCAAGTACTGCTTTCTCCATCTCCTCTCTGCCACTCACTTTTCAAGCACTTTTTCAAGCCCTTGGCCAAAACGTAGCTGAGGGTAAACACAGTTTACCCACTTCTAATTTGAAGCACTGTAGCATTTACCTACTCGCCATTACTCCGCTTGGAGCACAAAACAGGCAGGTTTACCTACTTTCCCACTGCTTAGCTAGAGATAATTCTGCAAATGCCACTATAAGAGCAGCGCAGTTCAATATTACACAGATTGGTACTAATTGCTTCTACAGCTTCCAACTTCTACCCAACGATAGACCACACCTAGGAAGGACACTAAAAAACTGAAAAGGCAAAAACAGTACTATGGATCAGAACGGATGAAGGAAATGCTGCTTACCCTGAAGAAAGAAGATGAGAAAATAGACAAAGTACAGAGATGAGTCCTGGAGAAGGTGACCTGAATTACAGCAGTTCATGGGGAGGTACCCACGGAGGGTCGCCCTCCAAGTACATAATTAGTGCCAGGCCTGAGAAAAGAAACACTGTTACTAAGTTAATGCAGTGAAGGGGAGAGGGGGAGCTTGGGAATTGGGTGGACAGGGCACAGAGGGTACATTTTCTTTCTTAATATAGAAGGAGCAACGATGGAAGAAGCAGACTTTCCTCACCCACAGCCAAGTCCTGGCGAGAATCAAGAGAGGCCACTGTAGAGATCAACTCAGAAGATCACTGCTGCTTTGGTAGAGTGGCAAGGCCACTTTAGTTAGGTTGTGCTGGCACATCAAAGTACACCTGGAAGGAAGCAGTAGTTGCAGGAGGGGGAAGAAAGGAGGAGTGTGTAGCCTGGGTGGCCCCTTCAGAAACTATCTCCACTAAAGAGGAAAGAAAGACAAATTAGATGAACTAGATAAACTAAAATTACAGAAAAGCTTCCTGAAGTTTTGACCAATAGCTGAACAGATCATTCTTCATCAGAAAGCAAAGCTTTTATCATTGCTACTGAAGAAGTAATTGGATGCTTAAACCTACATATATTTAAAATAAAAAAAGCCTCAATACATTTCCTTTCAATAAGGAAATATGACTGTAGACATACATTCATCATGCATCCTGAACAGATCTTATGCCATTCCTCACCACATGAAGAACAACCCAAATCTCCCTACAGAAAGTAGAAGCATTGGATGCCTATGTCTGAACACTTTAAAAATGACTGCTGTAATTAAGCCCAACTCTTCATGAAAGATCATCAAAGGGTGCAGGAAAAAAAAGTATGCCTCAGGGGTAGAGTCTTTCTTCTGTGATCTTCCTTCACTAGAATCCCTCCCACATCAATCTGTGAAGAAATTATATCCTACTTTATAGGAAAAGCAATATGAAACCCAGAGTTTGTTGCACTGGAAACAAAAATCAGGATCTAGCAAGAACTACCTCACCACCTGTGACTTGTGACTATGCAAGAGACAATCTCTTTTCCCAGTTCAGCTGGCTTCTGTGTTAGCATCCTCTCTGTACTCTGCATCTCCTGTCTCCTTCATTGCAGTTCTCTGAAGCAAAAACTGCTTATTACTCTGTCCAAAGGTCTCTATTTTTAATTACTCTCTTTTGCACCATCATATTAATCTAAGACCTTATGTATTTGTGCAAGTCCATCCAAGGATTCTTCTCTCCATCTGTTTATTGTTATTGCAACATGGCTGGGCTACTGAATGATCACAAATAGTTAGGGTTTTTGTTCATTTTTAGGATAGTCAACCATAATATTTTCAAATCAGATTGTTTTGCCATTAGTTAATTACTTCTGTATTGTGGATGCTGCTCCAAATGGCAGATGCTGTGCTGCACAGCAATACTACACATGTTCAGAATGAAAGTTTGGGCAAGAACAAAAGCAACATCCCTCCAAATAACGGTTGATAACTGAAACTAATCCATCCTTATTTTCTGGGTCTATAATACAATCAAGTCACTTCAAAGATTTAATTTTCCTAGAAGCTACAACTGTTTAGTTAACATAAAGCCTCAATTACAATCAAGTTTAGTAACCAAGAATGCAAGGGTCAACAGTAACATTCCTAAAGCTTTCGTGCGTTTCAAATACGGAGAGTGACACAATTTAAAGTCAAGTTCTTTATTTGCAAGTACTCTGGAAAACAGACAACAGAGAAAATCCTGGGGAGCAGGAAATGGAACTCCTGCCATAATGTAAAGAAGCAGCAAGTAGACTGCCAGCATCACAGCGAGTACTGCATAGCCTTGCAGCTAATAAAAAGGAACAACTTAAGGCTACATGAACTCTGACCCCTCAAATCTCCAACATGAGAAAAAGCACAGGTTCTCTATTCATTTTATTAATAAGTGAACAAGAGAAAGATATGGTCACAATGAAGGTATAGTACAAATCAAAGCAAAAAATGAATATTGTACATCATGTTTTTCCTTCTTAAGCACTAAGCATTTTGTTCTGACATTCCCCTTTGGTTGCACCAAACACCGATTCTTTTAGAAGTGGTTATGATACAAAGCAAGTCATTTTTTCCCCTCTACAATCAGGGCCCTGACCCAGTACATTTTCAGCCACCTTGTACATTCCCGGGCTTTATACTGGCTCTATGCCTGCCACACATGATCTCGCTCCTCCTCCTAGGTTAACTGAAGAGATCACCTTACATTAGAAAAGAAGAAACTGGAGAAGAAAAGGTATATTTCAAAGTGCACACAATAGGAAATGATACACTGTATTTTGTGCAAGATAATGTTTCTCTATTTTGAAAAAGAAAAACAGAGTGTGTGTGGGGGGGAGGAAAAATATCAAGAAGCAGTCATTTTTTTTAAATGAAAACATTCAAAAAGATTTTTTCCTCCCAGCAGTGCTCTTATTTCTCCAAAAGGGGGGTCCACAAACCAAAGCCCCATCTACACATACCTGCTAAACTTTAAAAATTGTCTTAAAATGTGGTACCTTATTATAAAATATATTTGTAGGAAGATTATTCAAGGGAAAAAAAATTGCTTCTATCTTGCTATTTTAAAATTGAATAAGAAAGAATTAAAACACTTAGCAAGCTGATGTAATGGTAAAAATTTAAATACTTACTGCATAAGAGCCTATGAGGAACGCAGCATTTGCTTGTTTTTTCTGATCAAAGCCAGTATAATGAATTATTTTCTTCCTTAACAATGAAAATGACTGTATTGAGAAATGAACAACAATATTGTAATTTTGCAGTTTAGACTTTTTATGTCTTCTTTTATAAAATCAGAGAAATGTTAGGCTGGGCACAATTCATCTACTCTCAACCATACGTATAGCACAGAGCACCAAGTATATTGTAGGTTAATCCCTCAATAGCTTCAGAAGAGTCTATTGGATCCCTAGTTAGATTGTTTCAGTATTTTTACTAGTATCCAGCCTAAATCATATTTGATGCAAATTACACTGATTTCTTTTTTCCTCTTTGAACACATTCAACATTTTTGACTTCTAGTCCTATGCGACAAATATGCATTTATGAGAAGCAAATACTACATGGCATTCTTAAAAACATAACAGACATGTCTTAACTAGTCTTAACTAGTTTTAAAAATAGATTTTAGACTTCTTTAAAGAAACACTAACTCTATATAAATTAGTTTTCTACTAATAGCTGTTTCTAAAATATGACTTGAACAGAAACACTGGAAAAATACAGGATTAAATTAAAATACTTTGAAAATATTTCTAAACCTTATCAGAAATAACTTCTCAAAATTTCACCTCAGTGCTTGCCATATAGTTTCTCTAACTTAGAAAGGGAGTGAAATGGTACTGTTACTAGAAAGGACAATGACATCTGTGAGGGCAGCAAAACCTATGCCCTAACTTGCCCTTACAACAAATTTCAATGTGCTTGAAGCTGTACACTTCAACTGATCAACTGCAAATCTATCATAAAAGATTGCTATTTAAATAACAACGTTACTTGCTCAGTTATTCAATGCACTCAAGACAAACTCCAGATAACTAACAGTAGTAGGGTCTCATCAACCTTAACACACCTCTCCAATATCACAACCCAGCATATTTAAAAGGATTATAATATAGCCTTGTGTTGCTTCAGAGTACCCTGTTAACAAAAATCAAATAATGTTGTCTCAGGCAAATCTGTTCGTAATGCCACAGGCACAAAATGAATCTGAATCATGCAAACTAGAACCAGTAATATACACCAAGAAATGGAGAGAAAAAAATTATCTGTTAAGCTATGATGTTTTGCGTACTTCCCAATTTTCACAGTTCAGTGGCAGTTTCAAGATCTAAGCACTTTCAAAGAGGCAAACTGTGATTCACATTAATGCTAATAAGCTTTTTTATCTGCCTAACAGGTTTTGTACTCCAGCTTCTGTTAGAGGTCAACTAACTTGCAGTGGTTCATTTTAATTAATATAGGAGAGCTCTGTTTTAAAGACACTATGCTCTAACAAGAGTCCAAACCTGAAGATTAATGAGCACCCCTCAGAGATGATAACCTTCAATTCCTGCAGTGAGAGTGTAACAGTCCGTTTCAGGACCATGCCATAAATGCTATTATTTGAAGATCAAATGTTGCTTCTTACAAATGTGATGTCAGGACCAGAAGAGAAACTCAAGTCAAATATAAGCCATCTCAAATTAAAATGTTGCATTGTACCCTCAAGCTCACTCAATATTGGCAGATCACCAAGGAGACTAAATTCCAGAGGAGAGAAGCTTTACATTCAAAGAAGTCCATGCAACTTGTATCTTAAAAGCAAGCAGTTTTCCTCTCCTGACCCTCCTCCTCCCTAAACGCACCTTGATAAAATTTAACATGCACATTCAAAAATTAGCTTGATGAAGAACCCAGGGAAGCACTTGAACAAAAAACTTTTGGCCCATCGGTTTTTCTTCTTTAAAAGGCAAGAATATTGAATAATAACAACGTGTTACCTTTAATTTCTTATTTAGCTTGCAGCAGTATCTGTAGACCATTGCCAGATTGAGTGGTCCAAAATCTGCATAGAAGCTTGTAGGAAAAAGGGGGAAAATTGTTTGTACATGAACTCTGTAAATGCCTTCTTTTTTTAAAGTAAATGCACTAAGTAAGGAGTAATAATATATACATGCATGATTCTAAACACAAGACTGCCTTTTTGCATTCATACTATTTCACTGGAGGAAACAGTTTTGTCATCTTTCAATACAGACTAAAACAGAGACTTTTTTCTTTGTTTTCCACACAAAATCACTCAAAAACTAACTGGAATACTCAAGGCTTGAAAAGTTCTCAGTAAAATATCACTCTGTGGTACCAGTTTAGAAACTATTTTAAGAACAACCCGAAAGCCTGACTTTAGAAGGGAATTAATAGTACCTCACAAATAAGGAAATAAGTTTGCTTACATACATGCAGTGTTCCTGGTACACTTTATGGTAAAACAACTCAATGAAAAAGATACAATACACAGTACTGCTAGAGAAAAGTGAATATAGACAGCAAAGATTCATTCACTAATGAATTTCATTGTATTTCAACTCTGAAATGAATTTAAAAAACAGTATGTTCTTGGTCAAAAACGTTTCAAGTATTAGTAGCATTTAAGATCACATACAAAGGCATATGCTGTTCACTACAGGGGAAATATATCCATCCTTGGCTCACGAAGGTTTGTATTGTTTGCCATTTTTTTCCTCTCATTCTAGGAAGTTTATGACACTCCACCTAACTCTTGAACAGCTAAAAACATCCCCTTTAGCTCAATACTCCAACACGCGTTTCTGCATAGATATTGTTGCAACATGTCCCAGTGTCTTCCAATAAGAATCGTTATAATGAGAGCTTCTGCTTTGAAAAGATTTTTAAGAAATTCTGGTGGAAAGCCAAGAAACCATTCTAAAAGGTGTATATATTATGGCAGATAAGTTTGAGAGGACAGAACTCGTATAATTAGTTCTATAATGGGAATGATGTGTTTCCCTCAACTACATTTAAAAACAGAATGTCAATTAGAGTGGGTCCTCGTTACTGTTGTTCTGACTAATTTATTGCAATGATCTATAAAAAACAGAAAAAAATGACTGTGCTTACTTCTCATATACAAGTTCATCATCTATGCAGAAATAATGGGTATTTGCAGCTCCACTCTTTGGTTTTTGGCAGAGAATTGCAAAATGAAGGCGATCTGAAATGCAAGAGAATTTAAAGCTTTTATAAACACATATTTTTCTGCAGAATGTCTGAAGTATTGCTCTCAGTAGAACAACTTTATATGGTTTAAAATGAACCACATCTTCCTTTAAGCATTACTGAGCTAGACGTAATGAGGCACACAAAGAATGAGACTTTTTGTTTAGGAGTGCTCCTGTAATCCATAGCTCTCTAGCATTCTTTGCCAAACAAAGCATTCTCAGGAAAGTTGCCTGTTTGAAGACTGAAATACAGCAAGAAACTGACTTGCATCCATGCATGCAGGAGAGACCCACCCTTGGCAATAGCCCGCCACACAATAGATCCCAGCTGTTGCAATCCAAATACTGCCCCCCACCCCCCCCAAAAAACATGAAATCCCCAACACTGCCTAGCCCCAACACCTACGTTAAACTAAACCGTAAGCTATATTCATACTGAACTACAGATGCTTCTCATCTTCTGGTGAAGTGATGCATTTGACAATGGCAGTGTGAAATTAAAGTTTGCAGGGGACACACGCCTGAGGGATGAGGCAGGCAAGGAGGTGACTGCATTGCTGCCTCTCACCCCTGGCCAAGTTTCCCAGACTTGGAGCAGTCTGCACTTGGGCCCTGGCTGACTATCACCAGCAGGCCCCGGCAGCCTCTTCAAAGCATGCACGCACGCCAGCCAGAAGGCACCTTAGTTTTGCCCTGGTTTGTTTTCTTAAGCTGAGGGGAAAAAAAATGCAACCAGTACTCATATAGATATAAATTATTTTAATGGGCTGCAAGAGCTGTAGCCCCAGTGAACTTTAAACACTGACAGTGCTGCTGCTGTAAATTGCAGTGCATGCGGTAATTGGTCAATAAAAATTGAGGCCTGCTGAAAAAAATAGCATTATAAAATATATGGGTTAAAGTTCAAACCTAAAAGGAAGGATTTTATTTTTTGCAGAATTAGTTGCCTGGAACAGATATATTTACTTAAATACCAAAACAGATCACCTGCATATAAATGTAGAAGTATACTTTTTCATAAAGGAGAACTGTAGCTCCTTTCTCTAAGAGCAGGAAAAAAAAATATATCACTTTGTCTTAAAACAAAATCCTCCATGAGTTCACTAGCACTTAGAAATTGGTCCTTCGAAATACACTATAAAATATAACACCAAAGCAGGCCCCAATCTCTATCTCAATGCTCACGTGCAAATGTGTGGGGGGGGGGGGGGAAGGTACACAGCCAACGGCGACACCAGACAGCATACATTCAGTAAATATACATTTTTGCAGAACACCAGCATGACACAGTTAACTTCTGCATTTATAGGTCAGATGCAACCAGTGGGATGCACACTAACTCCTGAGCAAGTTAGGCACCTACTTCCCTCCCGCTCTCAGTAGGAGCAAGGCACCAAACTTAGTTATTTAACTACTAACAGTCCCATCACGTAGGCACAGTAGCTGCAGTACGTAGCTGCTTTACCTGCTTAGGAACTTCTGTTATTTCCAACATTTACCAAAGCATTTCCTGAAAATGAGCCAAAGGGTCAAACTGACAGCATAATGCTGTGACTTTCTAAGTGGCTAAACTGGTCCATGCAGGGCAGCAAGTGTGGAGGAGCAAGTGCACCAATACCCCAAGTGGATGCAACCTGTGTTAGGGGGAGAACTACACAGAGAAACAGCCTTGGAAACATGTTTTGGCCAACACTGGGCAGGGGGGAGGGACCCCAGCCTCCCACAACTCCCCTGCATCTGTCCCCACACTATTCCCCATGCTGTGTCAAGATACATTTGTGTGAACCCAGATCAGCAACTACAGCAGGTGTTCTAGTACATTTAAAAATAATAAATAAAATTCATTGCTGATTGAGTTCCCGCAATCCTGAGGAAGAGCACTAACATGTGCTTGAGAAGGAGGACTGGGGGCAGAAGAGGAAGCAAAAATAAGAACCAAGAGGATATCAACCTCTTCAAACAAACCCTACATCACTGTTGAAAATACAAAAGTATTACAGAAAGAATAATCCAAAACCTCAAATACAAGAGCAGGGGAAAAAAAAACACACAAAAAGAAATATGTTTGCATAGATCAAAGGACTAAAAGAATTTAGTGCTTTGCTCCAAAATGTAGTATTGGATTTGGAGCAACAGAATCACTTGCTTACTTGGGGCTCCTCAGCAAAAATAAGAATTCACGTTTTGAGTGAATAGCACATCCATGGCCTTTTGAATTGCTGTTGATATTATATTCTGCATTGGTATCTTTGAATCACATTAATTGTTGCTATTCTTAAGACACCTGAAAGAATTTAGCTTAGAAACTCAAGTTTAATGAATTTACATAGCTACCTCACAATAAGAGCAGTGTGTCAGATGCCATTACCCTGACAAGCTGTCCATTTCAGCGCACTACTAACAATTGCTCACTATTAAGTAAACAGGGAGCACCATCATTTGTAGGCGTTTCCTACTTGGAGTTTTCAAAATGAACTACACAGAGAAGTCTTTTCCCATAGATGTATTTACTTTTCTACTGGCTTAGCAGTCTGATATCAGATAAATGATAAATTACTTGCTATGTCTGTTTTCACCCAGTTTTTGCAAACACATTCCCAGTTCTGTTTACAGTAGCCAAGGATTAGTGTTAATTTTTGAACAGGAGTAATGTACACTGTGAAATGAGCATTCTTGCCTTAAGCATCTGATTGCAGGATCAGGGCTTATTACATATAATACACTGGAGCCCCAATGAATCGATTTCAACAGGAGTCCACAAAGGTTTGGACTAAAGGAGCAAGGCTTCCTTTTTTTTTTTTTTAATGCTTGCAATACCAAAAAAGTGAAAATAAACCAAGCATTTACATTTAATGTACTTGAACACTTCCAAATTCTTTCAAATTTCTGATAAAAGGTCTTCCTCAAACTATCATAAACTAATTGGATTTTTCTAATCCTCTATCAGAAAAATAAGATGCAGTTTACAGGCTGCTTCTGCACTGCAATTAGCAGATATGATTGCAGCAGGTTAGATATACTTCAATTACATTTCATTTTGTTAGTCTCAAATAACAAAACAGTTAAAATACAGAAATATGGACTTCACTGTAGGCTATTAACTTCAGTAAGCATCTCCCAGGTGCAAAATAAGCCTGCATACCCCTAACTGAAGACTATGCTACCACAGCTTCACTGCTGCTGGTACACAAACTGGTGAAATTAAAGCTAGCACAAGCATGTCTACGCAAGCTATAACCATGCATCTGACTGCAGTGTGCATACAGGAAGAAAAGCACTTTGCTTGTTTTTCAGATCAACAGTGTTACGTGGAAATATCTGTGTAGAATACTGAGAGCTACCACTTCATAATCGTATTTATGTAATTCTAGAGATGAGTAAAGAAATGAGATTATTTTAGATCAATAAGCCTGATATTTCTAGGGATCTCCAGTAAAGGCCTTAGAGAAAGAAATGCCAATGATTCAAGAAGCAACTAAATACTAAGCAGGCACTTACTGTGGACAAGTCTGTATACAAACAGCAAAGATTATTTCATAAAAAGAGAAATTCTACAGTTTGACTGTTAAACAGATCCCTCAGATGAAAAACGCAGGGGAGACTGACAGTAGAACTGAAAACAGCTAAAGTCTGTTTTGAATTATCAGGAACGTAACCAGGGAGGGTTTTTTTTAAAAAAACTATTGTAGCAGAATTGTAGTGCATTTCTAAATTCAGAGTTAGCACACAGTATTTTGTTCTAAGCTAGATTTAAAAGGCTCCAAAATACGAGGGAGACACAATAGAAAACATAAAAGACAAATGCTGTTGCAATGTTAAAATGATAAGTAAAATTTTTTTTTAAATAATCATTCTATCCCTTGAAAGGGTTCAGTCACTCATCACTACAATTTATTTCAAATTTAAGTGGTGATACAGTTGGTAATTATAACAATAGCCTGGCCTTCTGAAAAAGAAAATGAAGACACACTAAAAAGTTAAAGGAACTTTTTATTTAAGAGACAATCGTGAAAAGCTACTTCAGGGTCATGTCATGACCAATCAACAATGTGTTATTTTACTTATCGAATATAGTCCTTGTGTGCTACTGCTCCTGTCAGATTTACAAGACTACATCACAGATGTTCATGCACTTTCACAGTGCTGGATTAGATAGTAAAAGCCTTGAACCGAAGATTGTAAAAGTGAGTTTAGCTCAGTTTAAAATGTTCAGTTCAAGACTCGCAAGTAAGTGAGATCATTTTGATAAAAGAGTAAATACAATTTTTGTGCTGATAGCTGTATAATGAAAACTAACTGAAAATATCGATAGTCAAAATCTTGAAAATTTTAGTGACGCTCAATAAAAACGTTCTTATCATTCCCAGAAAACTGTTTTCTCCATAATGCACAAGGTTTATAGGAGCAAACCAGCAATACTGAAAGAAAACTTGTTTTTTTCCCCTGTTGAAACCAATGAATTCATACATGAATATATTAAACCAAATGCTATTTCATAAAAATTCCAAATGGGAGTGCAAGTAAAATGATTCTCAATTAAAGAAAAAAGAAAAGTCGTATATGATACAGCTTAGAGCACCTTTTAAGTTAATTCCTCACTGTAAACAAAGTGGATATCCATTTAGCAGGAGGACAAACAGTGCTCAAGAAATGCCCCACTGTGTTATATCACTTATAACAACTTAATTCCAGATACAGTTATTGCCAAATTAATTTAACTACAGAAGAGAGGTGAGGGAGAAATATTTTTTGCCCAAAGTTTATGAGTTACAATTCCACATCTTTAAAATGTCACTTATACAATTAGAGCAATGACAGACAGTTGCGGAAAGGAAATCAACAGCTTTCAAGCATCTCAAATAAAATTACTAAGTTTTCTTTAGGTTATATAAATTATTGCTTTGAGAGATCACAAGGATATGGGAATATGCTTCTGATAAACTGCAGAAACGCATTCAGACCCAGCAAATTGAATTCATACCATCAAGCCTCACGCATTAATTGACAAAGACAAAATGGTACGACTTACCATGCAGCTTAACAGACCATAATAAAGAATTTTTTTAAAAAGAATAGTTTTCCTGAACTACTCTTAATAGCAAACAAAAATAATTAGAGTACTTTTAAAAGATGATTCTGACACACAGTTGATAGTTAAAAATCACTAGGAAATAAAGAAAGAAGTGCTATAAATATTGTAGGTATTCTGAGTATTAAATCTATGCATGTAATGGATTACAAGTTCTGTTGTGTATGAACGTAACATCAAGCAAGAAAATATGCTACATTCAGGAGACTTTCCAGGTATTTGGGTTTGTTTACTGCTGCTGCTGTTAGCAAAGATGAAAATGAGGGTAGCGAGCAGTGTTTTTAATGAGTTTCACACTGTTTCTGTAAGCAGATAAGCTAGCGCAGATCTTTTAGCCTATACAGTCTAAAAAATTTACTAGTATGTCTATTTGCAAGAGTAGGGCCTTATGTCTTTATTTATCTCCAATACAGAACCATTGATTCATTTCTCAGAACTGCATTACGAAAAGGCAGAACTGCCAGTTCAATATTTGAAATAACTTTTAAAATAGCTGAATGAGAAGGTAAGCCTGTGGGCTTAATTTTTTAATAGAGAAACCATAAAATAAAAGTACATCATACTGGTGAAATAAATATTAGACTATAATTGTTCCGTTATTAGAATATACACAGTAAGAAAAAAAAAAATCAAAGAATCTTAGATGATTAAATCTAAGAATCTACTGCATTTTAATCAAGTTTGCTATACTATGTAATGCTGTGTATATAACATCCCAGGGAAAAACACAAGTCAAATGCTAGGTGCTCCATTGTATTATTTAAACAGATGAATGTTTCTTTGGAAGAGACAATACAGTATTTTAAGCGGCCTATTTAATGCCAGACTGTATCATCAGATCCAAACAACTGCTGCATAAGAATTGTTATGCAGACCTGTTTGACGAAGATCAGAGCTGGGTAGGGCTGCACAATACTATTCTAGCTAGTAACATTTTTTGATATCAAAAAGGCATCACCTGGCAAATTAGGGGGTTCTATATTGAATCTTAAAACTGTATCACCATAATTTCCTGTACAAATGATTGCAGTTGAGAAGGTATAGAAAGATGCACACATGGAGTTATACAGCATTATAATTTTGCTTATATCATTATTTCCCCCCTACATAGATTAGGCCTAAAATGCTGTTTTGTAGGCTGGAGTATTTGGGATTTTATTCCCCGACAATATTATAATTTTTTAAAACAGGAATCTGCATGAGAGCTTACGTTCTCCCTACATCACCATGCTTAATCTCCAAAACACTGACAGAGTCCTACGGTTTTCTAAACATATTATTTAGGAGACACTACCAGCTAATTGAAATACCCTTGCAGTGAAGTGGTGTTAAGACTGGCATCTCTTGTCTGTGTTTATTCTCTGTATTCTTGCTTGCTCTGCCTACACACACTTTCCCATTTGCACCCGTCTTTAACAGAAAAGAGAAAAACGAGGTTTGTTTCTATAGCACACACAGAAGTTGATAGAGTAGATTAAAAACAACAAAAAAACAAAAAACCCAAACTTTTCCTGTTTACGTGTTTTTAAACAGCCTAAAACTCAAGCATGCCGTTCAGCCAGGCAGCTGCGGGCAGAACAGTCCCGCTCCGGCCCCGGGACCGTTTTTGTGCCGGGACAAAGTGCGGCCGAAGCCGGAGGAAAACTGGGGACCCTA